TATTTTCAGTACTAATGAAATGAATAGTAAAATAATAAAATAATAATACATAATATAAAATAAATAATAAAATAATAAAATAATAATATGTAAAAATTTGTTAAAAATAAAAAAAATAAATAAATTTCATTAACATTGAAATAAAATTTTTGAAAAAATTAGATAAAATTGATTTGAAACAATCTTTATCGGTTAGTACAAGATAGATAAATAGATATCAATGAAAATAGTTGGCTTTGGGTCTTGAAAGAGAAGAAGAGAATGGAATGGATGGGAATGGAGGGGAAGGGAAAGGGAAGAGAGATATATAATACGAGTTTGTTAACGTGCAACGTCACGTGGCGTGCAATGATACAACTATATCAGTTATCGAACGAACGACAGGACACGTGCCTGATTCAATACGTTTACATGAACCCTATAACACCATTCTTTGTATCGTATTGTCGATCATAATCGCGTTTGGCTTCCATGATCTCTCATATATAATACAATCTTCATAAACTCTTACAAATTCATTCCTACCTACGAGTATATACATTCATAACTTATGTGTGTGTTATATAGCAAAAAAAAAATGATGGAAATAAAATTGATTTACATCATTTTGTTTATCAAAAATACTAAAGAATTATAACAAAATATGTAAAAATTTGTTCATCAATGAATTTTTTTTATAAATCATTATTGTGTTAGAAACATTTGAGAAAATTTGTGACCAATATTTTATAGTTTTTATTTTATTTTATTTTATTTTATTTTACCCTCTAGAGGTTGCATAAATTAATTTCTATTAGCAAATATTCAACAAATTAAAAAAATTCAATTGAAATTTCTTATATAACAAGAAAGAATATTATTTTATTTTTAAGAAAAAAAAAAATAAAAATGATCTAAAAAAAAAACAAGGTGAAGAAGGGTAAGGAACGAGGTATATACTCGTGGTAGAATTATCCCCACTCTTTTAGAATAATGAATAATTCCCATGGTGAAATATACGGGTATATTTACGTCAACTGAAAGAATTTTCTCCGCGATTTTTTCTTTTTATTTCTTTTTTCTTACCACCCTTACTTACTCGTGTGTGTTTATATACGTGATATATCTTTGTGTATGTATGTGTGAAGATTATCATTAAATAACAATATACCCGTGGGATTGAGAAAGATTCCACGTTTAAATATCACTGACTCTATAGTTCTTCTTTCATTTTGACGTTGAATTTCATCGGCTTACATTTATTCTTTTGTATATATATATATATATATATATATATATATATATATCTCAATGTATATTTGTGTGTATAGACAGGAGTAAATTATTGCTAAATAGCTACCGGCGGATGTCAAGATGCGGGTCTTCGTTCGGGTGGTCGTGGGATCCCTACTATCGAAAACTCTACCCCGAAGCTACTGAATTCCAAACACCATAAACGCAAATCACTATAAACCTCTCTTCTATCTTTACCAAAATCAATTGATCTCAAAAATACCATTTATTTTACAAAATCCATTAGATTTTGGAAATTACATTTACAATGCCATTATAAAACGTTGAACTTCATTATGAACGTAAAGAAAATAAAACACGTGAAACTTAACAAATAATATTAATAATAATAATAATAATAATAATAATAATAATAATAATAATTCATTGATAATATTTAAAAATTAAAAATTATAATAGGATTTTAAATACCATTTATTTTCCAAAATACACGCCATATTAAAACGTAGAACTTTATTATGAATGTAAAGAAAATAAAACACGCGTGAAACTTAACAAATAATATTAATAATAAAATTTTAAAAATTGTAATATTTTATTTTAAATTGAATTTCAAATTTAATGAAACTTTAATTTTAAGAATTAAAAACTATACTAAGAAAAACTTTTTAAATATTCTACAAGTATAATAATATAATAATATATAATATATAATTATATATTAATATAATATATAAATATATATTTATAATATATAATGTAATAATAATAATTTTTTAAATTCGAATTAGGGTTAATTTATATATGTGATGCTCTACATATGTTAAAATAATATAATTTTATTAAAATAATGTTTGAAACTATTTACAAAAAATAATGTACAATATTGTTATATATATATATATATATATA